TCGATTGATTATTATTTATTATAGTTCATTATTTTCAGAGTATGTAGTAATGAAATTCTATAATAATTACCCATCGATTTAGTTTCATGATTTGATATTAAAATATATCACATAATTTTTTATAATATTTTTTCATAGTTTGTAAGTAAAGTTTACAAAAAACCTACACACGTTCAAAATTCTTCGTTATTCCCGCTCCAGCAATTATCGGAGCCTGCGGGCGAGTTAGGTGAACATCAAGATTAAAGTGGAGGGGGGTTTCAAGCCCAAGTGGGTATAAATACTGGACCCCTTATTGCTAGAGCTCATTACTAAGTTCTTCGTTCAACGTGATTCTTTACTAACTAATTACATCAAGAATGGCTCCATCATCGATATACCTAAGAAGAGTTCGCAACTACGTAGAACTAAAGGAAAAGCGGCTCAGGGATACCGTGGATCCAATCAGGGGGTTGACTTTGGAAGACGTTGACAAGATTTTATCCTTGTTGACCAGAAAACAGGCTCAGGTCATCCAGCAATACGTGGCAGTATTACGCCGAACCCATTCTGGGGAGACGCGTAAATTAAAAAAAGAATGGCTCGGCAAATATCTGAGAGATATTTCGAGGCTGAAGCCTTCCCCTGATAAAAATAACGGTATTGACAACAATACCAACAATAACAAAAACTGAGGTTGCACCTTATCAAAATGGCCTTTTTCAAGGCCGCCAACTTTTTCAAAACGTAGACTACTTTTCTTGTTATTCTTTTAAAAATAAATGAGGTGAAATCCCTAATTATTGACAGGGGTCTAAATATTGACACCCTAAATTATTTTTTAATATATTTAATTATCTGTTATAAGAATAACTATATCATATGAATTTTTATTAAATTCTAATTAATTAAAAAAAATTACTATTAGTTCAAAATACACTACTCACAAAAATTAAGGGGATAAAAAAAAATGCAAATGTTTTTTAGATTTTTGACGGGCTGTATTTCAGCGGAAAATGATCGTGTATCGCAAAAATAAAAAATACATTTCAAAGTTCCGAGATTCTAGTTTTCAGATCTTGAGGTCAAAATTTTTTAGGAATTACGGTTTTAACATGATCCGAAGAAATAGAGCGAAAAAAAAATTTTCTAAATTTTTGATCTATTTTTTTCGCTCTACGGGTTCGGAAAAATTTTTTCAGACAAAGCGACCTTATGAAACAGATAGCCTGTTTATTCAACTTCAATTTCATCTTTTGTTAAGCTTGATACGACCATTTGTTGCGCAGATATTCGAGATCAGATAAAAAAGAACGTTTATGTCTTTAACCATCAATATCTCTGCAACCAATAATCATACAGCAAAAAAAAAGGATAGTTTTGGAAACTGGGAGAAATTCCCAATAAAATTCCATAAAAAAATTCCAGAAAAAAAAACTTATCGATGTACGATACCGGTTTAAAAAAAGTGACTTTTTTCCTTATTTTGGTTAATCGACTGTATCTTAATAAATATCTATGGGGAAGCTAGACATTGCAGGAATTTTTACACCTCAATGTACCCCTGAAAACCCTGTAAATTTTTAGATCGATCCATTGGGTAGATTTTTCGCCCCGAGTATCCAAAATTTTGAATAAATTGAAGGATTTTATTCATTATCATGCTGTAATCTTCAGAAAAATGAAAAATTGATTTGTTCTCAATTTGCCTCGACTCATTCGTAAATTTGAATGAAAAAAACGACAAAGAAAAAAATTCGAAAATAAAAATTTTTTTTTTTTTGAAAAGATGATGGTGGCGATAATGATGATGATGATGATGGTGGTGATGATGATGATGATGATGATGATGGTGGTGGTGGTGATGATGATAATGATGGTGGTGATGATGATGATGGTGGTGATGATGATGATGGTGGTGATGATGATGATGATGATAATTATTTCGCTCATCATCATCATCATCATCAGCTCAATTATTTATTGACTCTTATATCATTATTTATAAGAGTACATACAAATCAATATATGATTTAAAGGATAATGGCAATATAACTTTTAGTTTTTAAGATACCAACACTTTAAATACAAGAATATCTTCTCTTCCCATTCTCCTTAAAAATGAAAAAAATGTAGCGACTCACTTTCTCACCGACAGTCAATTGAAAAAAAAATTTTTTTTCGAAAATTTTAGATTTTTTTTTTTTCAAATTTATTAAGTTGCTAATACAGTATTAAGAGAAAAATAAAAAAAAAATTTTTTTCATTTTTGATAAAAATTATGACCTTTTCAGAGCGAAATTCTTGCTCCTATAATTTTTTCAAAAATTCAATCAAGTGAGAAAAAAAAACGGTTGGCTGGATTCAATTGAAACTTTGTAGGTATATTGAACAGTAATAAGCACACTCAACATTAGTGGTTTCCGCCATATTTTTGATTATTACGTGCTTGATTTTCCAAAAAACCGCAAAAGGCCTTTTTTTGGTTGTTTTTACAAATTCATGTAATGATTGAAAAAAATTTTTTTTTTCAAAAATTAATAGCTAATCCTCGTAGGTAATTTATTCAAGTTTTCAAAATCGACCTTGAATTTTCTGTGCGATTATTGGTTGCTGAGATATTGGTAATCAAAGATAAAATGATCTTTTTCCATTCAAACATCGATATCTCAGCGAGAAATGCTCGTATCGAGATTTTTGAAAAACCAAATTAAATCTGAATAAGCAAGTTAACTGGTCCATATAAAGGTTAAGTCAAAAAAAATTTTCCAAGTCCGTAGATTTAAAAAAATTTCGAAAATTTTTTTTTCGGTGGTTTTCTTAAGATTGTTCGAAACAAAATTTCAAAAAAAAATTTTTAAACTCAGATCCAAAAACTAGACACTTAAAGCTACAATTTGCTTGTTTTTGTTTGCTGTACGACCATTTTTCTAGAAGTTACAAAATCCCTCAAAAATTTGGATTTTTTTCTTGCTCCCTTAATTTTTGTGAGAAGTGTATATAAAAATGGATGGTAAAAATATTGATTGTCTTTTTTTTTACAGCACTTAAAACAATTACCTGAAATTCATGCGTCTAAACCAGAGTACCCTCTTAAGGCTTATTGATTTTTTCTTAACAAGTTTCCAAAATCTCCTATTATGTTGAGATTTCAATTGAAGGTATTTATTCAGATCCAAGAAAGAAACAATGACTCTTTGAATTTATTGTCAAAAATAATACAATAATACTCTTTTGTAATATGATAACAACATTTTTAGTATCTAGGTATAAAAAAAAAAAGACTGAAAATTTTACTTTAGTTGACTTTTGTCTTATTTTTAATGCCACAAAAAATCTCATTATCTTTGATACTGTAATAAATATTTATATTTGAATATTTTAATTAAGAGAATATAGCCTACTGTAATATATGTATGTCCAAAAATTTTTTTCTGCATTAAATTTATTGATTTGGTAAGTAAGCAGATTGTTCATGTGAACTCGGTGCTGATTTAATATTTCAATTTATTAATACTTAAACATTACACGCGTGGAAATAGTAGTTGCTAAGTAATGATTTACTCTTTTTGGAGAAGGGTACTGATTATAACACTCGTAATAAGAGTACATAGAGTTAGATATAACTAGGTGAGAGTAGGGACTTACTGTAGGGAGTTTATTGTAGGCGTACAATAGACTCTGAAGGTATGCAAAAATTATAAAAGTTGGACAATACTAGTTAAGGAAATTGAGAGAGATAGAGCTAAAGCGTAATTAGTGAAGTCATGGGTCCGGGTCGTTGGCCAGAGGCGCCAAGGGTCCCTAATCCCTTAATGACTTCTAGACAAAGGTACATTATTCAAAAAATTTTGTGGGAATTATTTAGAAAAAACCCTTAATCTTTTTACAAATAAACTCATAAATATTTCTTAGTCTTAAATGAGTTATATCGTATTATGTGTCTCGCCAGTTGCCGAAATATTTTATCACCATTTAGGTATAATAATCTAAAATAATTTATGATGATGTGTCACAAACATTTTCTGTCAAAACACTGCAACATTAATAGATAATCATGTTTGTATACTGAGTTTCTTATTGCAAAATGTAATTAAAATATTTAAATAATATTATAATAATTAATAACAAATCAATAATAATTATAATCCTAAAACTAAAATTAAATAAAGTAATTTAATTGTTTATGTCTAACTTAACTTCGTTTCAAAATTGTGAGCGTATATTAGCGAAGCGAAGTCGACTTCTTGACCTTGAACCGTTTACGCTACAGCGCTACAACTTGTCACGACAGCTTTTTGTGAATCTAAAAACCAATTATTTGTCTCGACTTGTTATAAATTTGATTTTTTATTGGTTCAAAAGTACATACTTACGAAAATAAATTATTTATAATTAAAAATTCAATTTTTTTTTCATAATACCCTGATAAATTTTGATTTTTTGAAAAAAATGCAATGATCTGCCGAAAAAAAAAGATATTTTTACTATTTAAGTCTCAAATTTGTCAAACAAAAGAAACCAATCATGTCTAACGCAAAATAACCGGTTAGTTTCTTTTGAATTTAATTTTAAAGTGGAATAACATTAAAAGGAGTGAATTTGATTAAAAATGATAGGAGACCTTTTTTGTAGAGCATACTCTCTAAAACAGAAGTAATGAAAATTCACTATTTGGTAGTGAATATTCACTATTTAAAATAGTTAAAAGTATACCACTACTAAATAGTGAATATTCTCTAATCGAAATAGTGAACAAATCACTCTTTTGAAATAGTGACCACATTCACTTATTAAAACAGTGAATAAACCACTAATTGAAATAGTGACCTAGTCAGTATTGGAATAGCTGTTAATCACTCATTGAAATAGTAGAATTTTTATAAACAGATTAATTAAAATGACATTTTTAATGATTCAGGAATTTTAGAATATTTATTTTCGTTCAATTTATAAAAAAACCAGGTTTTATTGTTAAATATAATTTAAAAACACATGAAAAAACATTTACTTATGCATTATTATTCGCTTTCCGAACATACGTCAGTGTTAAAATTAAAAATATTTGTGTGAACCGAAGACACAATGTTGTACGGCTTCACATCCAGGTCGTAAACATAAGATTCTAAGAAATTATAAAAATTACGCAAGCTTTCTGGCCACTCCAAATTCATAACATAATAAAACTTGAATAATAAGTCAAAACTTGCGACTTGGTTTCCTTCCTCATTTACATTTATAATCCAACCATCCCCTTCAATGAAAGACGATTTGCACGACTGGCCAGAGACTACCATTAAGTATGGCTGTACATTTGTTTTGCTTCTTTGACGTATGTTTTTAACATATTCTGTCAAATTCGTACCTTCCTGAAAAGTTTATAACAAACGGTTATTAGACTTTGTAATATAATTTAACAATAGTTTATAATAATTTGTATGCAATTTTACTGAAGAATAATTATTTGCTCTATAAAAATATTGATATTTATGGTGTAACATTCTGGATTTTCCATCGAATGTTTTTATAATTTACCAGGCGGGTGTCTTCAGGAGATCTATACAGATTCCAGGTGCACCCTACTTTAGGAAACTTTATAAATTTTTTAAATTATTATTAAGGTAATATTTAAAATTTATTTAAGAAAATTTTTTTTTAAGTTCAAGTAAATCATTGTACTTGAATGAGTTTTCTTACATAGTAAAAATTTTGTTGGTCCTGAAAAGGACCATTTGATTGTTGTCTACACTTTCGTCTGTTTAGTGTAGTCAAAATAACTATGTTAAAATTTAAAATTTTAATTATTGTTGAAGATTGCGCAGTCTTCTATGGCATGTTTTAAATCTACGCCGATTGTCTGTTGGTTCTCTGTCCTTCATCTTCAGTCCGTCAGATTTGTCGGTGACCTTTTTATCTTTCACAATAAATTCGTCAATATTACCGTCGTCACCGAAGAGAAATCGTTCGTCTTCGTCAGTTACACTTAAGGTAATGTAGTCGTCGTCATCGTCTAGGTCATCTCGAAGATTCAAGTTTGTCATGCGGTCGATTAATTCTTGTAGTCCATCCATTTTTTATTCGGAACTGATAAAAATTTAGGTAAATATATTTAGTCACACAGAGATCCGTTCGGTTCGGTAGAAGTTTGAGTAATAAACTTTTTTCGTTCTCCCTGCTTCTATTTATAGACTCAAGCGCAACTTGTGCAGTGAGCTGATTGGCCATTGAGTGGTGGAGAGGGTAACATGCACTGTGTGCATAAGAGGGGATGGAGACCTTGTACCGAGCGCTCTGAAAGTCAGATACTTGCTTCAAGGGCAACAGACCTAACGCTAGAAGGGACACATTTGAGAACTATACTTCCAATAAAGTATACTAGACCTGAATTTGCGCGCGCAAGCGCGCGCCTAAATATGAAGTTTACATGAATTTTCATGCTTATGACATATTCGATCAATCACATCAGGAATAAATTGACTTCACACACATATATTTCACCTGAATTTTATGTTAAAATATAATTTTCTTTTTAAAATAATTTTTCTTTAATAAAGAGAATTTCTCTTGAACAAGTCAAAAATTATTTAGTAAATACACTTTTTTTTCAATTTTTTATTCACGATTTCTCTTCTATACATCAATCGATTTTAATGCGGGATGTAGCAGTGGACGGCGTTTTTTAAGTTTAAGAGCTGATTAGATTTTGAAATTGATCAATACACCTGTTTATAAGTTATTCCAAAAATACTTTTGTTAAAAAATTTTATTTTTATAATTTCTGAAAATCTACCTTGTTAAACTAGTAAAAATTAAGAGAAATAAAAAATTATAAATTTTTGGATGATTTTCAACGAGCTGTAACTCCGATGAAAATGATCGTACAGCAAAAAAAAAAGCAAATTGTAGCTCCAAGTATCTTGTTTTCAGACATGACCATGATAATATTTCATCATGCTTGGGTCTGGAGGCTCCGATAATTGCAACAGTCAGATAAATGTAAAATTAAAGAATATATCAAAAATACGGTATTATGAATCATGGATTTAAATATATTTAATGATTAAATTTTTTTGTTACATTTCAATAAATGTTCAAGCCATTAATGCTGGGCACTTACTAGAAATTTTAATCCTGAAACATAAATAAAAATAAATTGCAATAAATAATAATAATGGATGCATAAAACTATTTCAAACCGTGCAATTGGGATTTTAATCATTAGTTGTGGATATAAATTATTTGAATGTTACAATTCGATAATAAAATATCAAAAAAATGTTATTTTAAACGGTAAGTAGTTATTTACTTAACTATAACTAATCCATGTTAAATTATAGTACTAGATTTTGTTCTAAATTACCTTTAACTCTCGCTTCTGCAATTATCGGAGCTTGCGAGCCAATTGGAGAACGATCATGGTTAGAAGAAAGGAGGGCGGGAGTTTTTAATTTTTGATTTCATTTTTAATTATGAAAAAAAAAATTAGAGGTATAAAAATTATCGCTTAAAAAAATTTAAGGATGTGCAGAAAATATCACAATTCAGAAATATAAAAAAATGGTCAGCTTCAGAAAATTTTAAATCGTTTCCAAAAATCTAAAAAAAACAAAATTAAAATAATTTTTAAAAACAATTAAAACAACATTTAAAAACAAACACTCAAAAAAACCATCATCATGAGTTTAATTTTTAAGAAAATATAGGTAGAAAAAACCTTGTTTTTTTTTTCAAGTTCATAACTTTCATTTATTTTTAAAAGAATAATAAGACGAGTATACTTAAAAAAAGAAATTGATTAGTAAAAACATTACTTATATTGAGACATTACCACAAACAAAATTCAACGATATTGATATTTGATTGCTTAAAAAAAATGAAATCATAACTTTGTCTTTTATAGTGTCAATAATTAGGACTTTTACCTTAAAAGTTATGAATTAAAAAAACAAAAAGGTTTTTTTATCTATAATTTCTTAAAAATTAAACTCATGATAATGCTTTCTTAATGTATTTGTTTTTAAATGTTGTTTTAATTGTTTTTAAAAATTATTTCAATTTCGTTATTTTTAGATTTTTGGAAACGATTTAAAATTTTCTGAAGCTGACCATTTTTTTATATTTCTGAATTGTGATATTTTCTGCACATCTTTAAATTTTTTTAAGCGATAATTTTTATACCTCTAATTTTTTTTTTTTATAATTAAAAATGAAATCAAAAATTAAAAACTCCCGCCCTCCTTTCTTCTAACCATGATCGTTCTCCAATTGGCTCGCAAGCTCCGATAATTGCAGAAGTGAGAGTTAAAGGTAATTTAGAACAAAATCTTGTACTATAATTTAACATGGATTAGTTATAATTAAGTAAATAACTACTTACTGTTTAAAATAACATTTTTTTGATATTTTATTATCGAATTGTAACATTCAAATAATTTATATCCACAACTAATGATTTAAATCCCAATTGCACGGTTTGAAATAGTTTTATGCATCCATTATTATTATTTATTGCAATTTATTTTTATTTATGTTTCTTCAATAAATGGCTTGAACATTTATTGAAATATAACAAAAAAATTTAATCATTAAATATATTTAAATCCATGATTCATAATACCGTATTTTTTATATATTCTTATTGAATTGCATGTCTCAACGCGAAGCGTTTGAGAAGTGCTTTACTCTCACTCTCTCAAGGTCAACCAATTATCTTGGCTTGAATTGTTTTTATCCGATCTTTTTCGCACTTTGAGTATTAAATTAAATGAGTTGACAAATATCACAACAAGAACACTTTTTTATGACAGTAAATACTTTAAAAAACGCTATTTTTTCTAAGCAGTATAAAAAAAACCGTTTTGAAAAAATATTTCGGTGGACGTTGGGTTGTCTGTAAATGCGATTGATGTATGTGGTCACGATAACGCCCAAAAAACTTCACTTTTTGAAGTCCATTTCTTTTTCATTTGCTTCAGTATCATTCTGAGTAATAGACTATTGAAAATTACCGGCTAAAACAATGTTATTTATATAGAAAAATGAATAAATTCATTAATGTGTTATATATAAAAAATATACATATATATAAAAAAAATAGTTTAATCTTTGGCCACACATTATTTCTTTTGTGATGAATGAGCGTCGAGACGTGCACCTTTGGATTTTCCAAACTTTTTATGAAATCTATTATGGGGTCTTAAAAAAATTATAAATTTTATCAATAATCTTATAATTATACCAAGTCAAATAATAATTAATTTAAACGTTCGGCAACACTATTTTTTTGATGCATCTATAAAAAATACTTGAACCAGAGAATTTTTTCAAATGTTATTTATTACAATATCTATTTGATTAATATAAATGTTATAATTTTTAATAAAAGACAAATGCTGACCTGCCATAAAGTTATATGTTAAAAATCTAATTTCTAATTGTTAATAACGTCCAAAAATTATCGATGACGAATTTTCAAAATTTGGGGAAAGGTCACTGTATAATTAAATTCATCAAAACTAAAAAATACAAATTTTATCTACCATTGAGTCTTATGTATGAACGTCCTTAATACTCAGACATGTTATTAAAAATTCCGCTTTTATGTGAATTAAAACATCAAATTAAAACATGAAAGAAATTTTACGTTGGGAAAAATTTGGCGGCCCTGAAAAAGGGCCATTGGTAATTTTTTTTAGTTGGTTAATTATTTCTTCTTTAATTTCCTCCTCTCGATTTTACGTTCAACTCCAATGGTTTTCCATTCTCTGGATTTGGATTGTCTGGACCCCTTGGAAAAGCGGGCCAAGGTTCCACCTCGAGTTTTGATACTTGAGGATCAGACGGAAAGAGTTTATCTATCTCCTTCATTCCTTCAACAAAGAAGTATAATCGAAGTGCGTGTACGTATTGTTCAGGGTAAGTCGACATCTTAATGAATGTGATGAGTTGACCAGGTGTTGCTAGCGTTGAAAAGGTAATAAGTTGTAGACCGATCTTGTCCCTTCTTATATACTAAGGATGACAGACTTCCCCCTCCACTGGCTGTGCCTAATCTGACTGGTACGCTGTTGGAAACTGCCAAAGTGGGGTCGATGGTTAAAAACTAGCGGAGGGGGTAAGTTTCTTATCTTGCACATATAAAAAGAGTACTTGACTAAGACCCGAGCTTAAAGAATTAATTCATAAACATGCAAATAATTTTTATAGTAATAAATTAAAGAACATCACCATACTCCAAGAAGTATGTAAAACTATTAGTAGCAACTCCACAGGTAATGATCGATGATCATTCTCAGACTAAAGATATTAAAAAAAAAACATCAATCAAACGTCCTCGTCTGTGTTAATTGAAGGCTGTTAATAAATAGGAACTATTGAAACTAGGTTAAGGCAGGCTAAGTAAATAAAAAATTAACACCAATCTGATTAGGTTTTTAATTAAAAAATTTTTTTCCTAAATACTGAAACTAAACTATATTGTTATTGTAACTATTATCATTGAAATAAAATAAAAAATTTTTAATATATGCTAAAGCCAAAAATGGCCAGGAAATATGAATGAACTTAAATTAAAAATATATGAGTTGTACAGAGTTTGTATTAATATATGTAAATATGAAGGATCAATAAATATATTTTATAAACCCCCTCGCTTCAGGTCATTCTACAATTTGCCATTCAAGCTTAACGTCATCTACCATTCGATAAATTTATCAAGATGTCGACTAGTGTTGAAATAAAACCGGAGGTTCTTCGGTTATATCTCTTTTTTGAAGGAACAACGGAAATCGACCGACTCTTTCCGTCTGATCCTGAATCAACGAAGATCGAAGTGGAACCTTGGCCCGCTTTTCCAAGCCAAAGGGGGCCAGAAGTTTCTAAACCAGAGGATGAAACACGATTTAAGAAACCATTAAATCGAGTCGAACGCAAATTTAAAAAGAGTAGATCTATAAAGGAGTAGTTACTACTAAACTAAATTTAATATCCAATGGCCCTTTTCAGGGCCACCAAATTTTTTACTACGTAAAATTTTTTCAAGTTTTAGTTTGAAAATTATTTCAAATAAAAGCCAAATTTCAGTAAACAGCATACTGAGAAAACAGTGTTTCATTTAAATTCGTGGATTTATTTGAAATAACTTCAAAATACGTGTTTAATATTAACAGATTTTTTTTATTTAAATATGGATTACTTTTAATCAAACACTATAGTGTTTTCAATTCATAACCGTTTTCAATTCATAAAATAACCGATTCTTCTAAAACACAACATGCTTTATCTATCGATAAAAACCAGGGTTAAATTTGAAGATAAGCTTAGTCGAGCGAGTTATTTGGAAATGCGGGATTTTGAAATTTTTGAAAGTTGTATAAATTAATGTTTTTACCACTTCAACTTAGTATAATTACCGAAATTGACAAGATATCCAAATTCAGTAAGTAGCATCGTAAAGCTCTTTTAATAAGCTTCAATTTTCACTCCTCAGAAGTGCTAATAGCAATATTAGCACTTGCCTCAATATTACTCCATTTAAAGTTCGTTTAGTAAAACAGTTTAACTGATGCAGCCGTTTTAGAATTATCGCCTGCATCATAGCATAATATTGATGTAGATTCAATAACTATGAAATTGATCAGTCTTTCGGGTAATGTTTTCGGGTAGGTAGTCAGTAAATATGTCAGAAATTATTTCTAAATATTGTTTTCTTAAATTAGAATTTTATTCGGTTTCAAAATTATGATTAACTCGGAAACTGTTGTTCTTAAGCAGTTACTTAAGATTTGGGTATTGATAATTTAAATCTTATAATCTTTGAAATTGTTTGATAAATATTCGAAAAACTTTATCTCTACAAGATAATTTTTAACTTTCCACTATGAAAATCGAAGATTTTCAAAAATCGGGGTTATTGTTTTCATCCCGTTTTGTAAAAATCAAGTTTTCATCAGCTTCACTAAACACTCGGAGCTACTATTTGCGTATTTTTTTTGTTGTGCGATCATTTCACTCAGAGTTACAGCTCTTGAAAATCATCTAAGAATTTGGGATTTTTTTATATCTCTTAATTTTTGTAACTAATATATATTTAAAGTATTATTATAAAATTCTAGCAGACTCCAGTAAATGAAAAAACACCTCCGAAGACCAAAGATAAAACAAATGCATTGCATGATGGTGACATCGATAGAGGTAATCAAGTCGGTTCAAAAACTCCGCCTCGAGCACCATCAACAATACCTTCCAAATCAGATTCCTATCTTGAAGGGTCAGATGCAGGAGTGATTACCAGAGATAGAATGCAAAACATAAAAGGAGTGGCATGGAAAAGACGCATGGAAAGTAGATATCTTAATTTAAGAGAAGAAGTAAATGAATTGAAAAGGTCTAAGAATGAAAATAATAATAAAAACGAGAATAATAATAAAAACGAGAATAATGAAGATAAGACGAAGAGTGTGAAGTTGAAGGAAACAATCGTAATTGAAAATGGAGAACAGGTAAACTATTATTTTGACATTTATAAGTAATTATAAAATATATAACATAATAGAAATTTTGAATCGTTTAATTGAGAAACCCCATAAGTCAAAAATACTAAATTTTTCAGCAGCAAAAAAAAATTTTTCTTGATTAATTTTGCATTAGCATCATGAACCAATAGTGAATAATAATAATGTTAATATCCTGAAAAAATATTCGAACATGAAAAAATTTGATTGTTAATTTCTAATATTCATAATAATGATCTTAAGTTGATAGACTTATGGGGTTTCTCACCAAAACGAACAAAATAATAAAATCATTAATTTATAAATTTTTCTCGGTCAATCATTTATTACATATATATAAAATAAAGTACAAAATATGTATTTGAACTACAATTAACGAAAATTATAAAAAATCATCTATTTTTTAATTCAAATTAGTGAACTAAGAGTCAACAATAAAACAACATTTTAATTTATCATAATCTAACTTTATAAAACAAAAATTGCAAAAATTATTGAAATCAAAGTATTCAACGATAACTATAATATATTTTTATTTGGTTATGATTAATTTCAGAATTTAAATCAGTTAAATCAGAGTCAACAATAAAACAACATGATTTTAATTTTAATCCATCAAACGAATATTGTAAAACTCCTTATAATTTAAGTATCTGACAGTAAATTTAATTTCTTATTATCTAGTAATCAATCATTTTAAAATTGGGGTCAGTGAAATTACATCAAAAAATAAAACAATAATTTAATATATTTTTTTTAAACCCATACTGCGAAAATTATTAAAATTACAGTATTTTATATTGAATTGAATTTTTTCTCAACTAAACGAGATTTATATTGACCGATTGGTTAGGTCTTGAACACAGATCTAATATTTTTGGGGCTGGTATAAGTGAGGGAAAATTCAAAGAACCGAAAAATGTAATAAACCCGATTTCGAAAAAAATATGACTTATAGGGTTACTGAAATAAACGACATTCACTTATTTTCTCTGTTAATTGTTGATTTTTGTTATTTGCTCTGTTAATTTCTTAGATCACGACGATTGATGATGTTGTATTCACCAGTACGGAATTTGTAACTATTGCAAAGCAACCAACAATGAAAAAAAGAGTCAGCTGCTTAGTGCCAGTAGTTTGGACTCGGGAAGTAATTCAGAAAAAATATTTGGATCCACCTAAAAATATGGAGGGTTATGTACTTATAACCGATTCGGATAAATTAAAATTTGATCGTAAGTATCTCTTTTAAATTTACTATAAATCATTAAGTTTAAATTGATTAAACAAGAAATTTCGGAGTAATTCCGAAAAAACACTTTTTTCGGTTTTTTTTCGTCAACGATGACTCACGAACGAATCAACTGACTTTGACCAGACCGGCAGCGCTCGACGTAGTTTTTTGATGTTAAGAGCTGATTAGTTTTTTGGAATCGATCGGTAAAACTGTTTAAAAGTTATCTCAAGGAAAGCATATTTAAAAAAAATTTTTTTTAGTGAACCGATTATCGAAAAACGGGGTAAAAACAATAACTTCCCGAGTTTTTTAGCGGGAAGTTAAAAATAGTCATGAAACAAAAAATCATCCTAATTTTTATGGGACAGATTTGTTGATAAAACTCAAAAAATTGAATTAAATTTTATAATTAAATAACAAATAACTAACTAAAATTTTAAAGTATTTTTTTAAAGCTTAGTGTTAAATTAACCTTCAGAGTACACATGTCCGAACAGAACTTTAGAGTACACATGAGGTCGAATTGACCCCACTTGATTTTCAAAGAATTATATCTCTGAAACTCTTCATTTTATCGGAATTCATGTCATTACATTTTTGGTAGGTAAAACAGTGCTCTTTTGAATATAATAATAATAATTAATATTATTATTATTAGTATTATTATAAATGCAATAATTTTTAATGTTGAAAAAATTAATTAAAAACGAAACTATTTTTAAGAAATGTTTTAGGATAAAAAATTCTGGGGTCAAAATGATCCTCAGTGTACTCCGAGGGTTAAACATGATTAATAAGACGCAAAACTTTTAACTGGTGGACTTATGATACATTCATTTTTTATATGTTCCAGAGTTATGTTACCATTTTCAAAACCATCGAAAAATAAATTATGATAACGGAGGAAAAGATGATCCGAATTTTCATTCCAAACCCTGGTTGGGCCGCCGATGTACGGAATTAAGAAATGCATGGAATAAAAAAAAAAAGGTTCATCAAGCACCTCGTGATGAATAATAAATTTTCAAATAATAAAGTTAAAAAAAAACATATATATGTTAAGTTTAAAAAATTATAATAACATGTTAGAATAATTAAAAATAATAAATAAAGAATATTCCAAATTTTTAATAATTTTTGTTATTATTATTATTATTATTATTATTATTATTATTATTATTTAATTAAAGAGTAAAGTAATTCAAATAGTCCACTGAAATTACTCTTATGCGTTGTTCGAACTAATTTTCGACTGAGATGTTTTTTCACATGAAAATCGAGAATTTTTCATAGAATTTAATAAAAAAAACGCGAAATCTCAATTCGATACGGAAGTTAATTAAAAAAATTAATAACAAATTGAAAAATCGCGGAACGCTATATTTTTCACTTTTTTAATATATTTAATATTTTTTTTTCACAAAAGAATTAGTATCACTGGAAAGAGCGGAAATTTTTCAACAAAAAACGTAACAAACATCTTCTCCGCGGATTAAATAAACACCAAAAAAAAAAATTAATTTCTTATTATTTTTGTCAGCTGTCCGGTAGGTATTAAGTGCAGTCACAGTGGTAATCATCCACTGTAATTTAAAATAAAATATTTTATCGTTTCATTTTTAATTACAGTGGATGATTACCACTGTGACTATAACAATGAGTTTATAGTGAATTCACTGAATTCACTGTGAACTCACAGTGGTGTCACCATAAAACCACAGTCACTTAAGGAAATCCTTTCGCTCCAGTTGAGTCAAAACAATTGTAGTAGTCAATATACGATAAATTAAAAAAAGAAACCCATAAAAATTCCTAAAATTAAATAATAAATAGTATATGAGGCATTAATCGTTGAAACTTTGAAAAAAAAAAAAAAAAAAAATAGTTAAATACAAAAATTAATTTGACTCTTTCAAAACAGCTGCAAGTAATCTGTCCGTGATTTGGCAACGCTGTACTTCAATTGTTTACATTTTCATTTGCACAATATAACCTTAACCACGTTTAAATTTTTGCAGTCAGTGTAAATAAATAAATTAGTTTGAATTTATTGAATGGTCTGAAGCTCCCGCGATACGCAACGTTGCCAAATGTTTTGACTCCATTTTAACGTAGGTTACTTGAGAATTTTTTGTGATTTTTAATTATTAATTTCTCAATAAATATCTCGGTAATTGATATATTTTATTGCAAAAAAAGAAACCTGAATATTTTGAAAATCTAATTTTTAGTTTTTTTTTACTTCGTCTAATCCATGACTGATAGTATAATTTGAGAAATACTGCAAACGTCTGACTTTCTCGTAAGACTTTGAACAAATACTAACATTTAAAAATTTTATTTTTTCAAAAATTTGTCCGGTAAAGTATAATTTAAACCTCACTATTAGATAAATAAGGACCTTAACTATTAGAAAAAAATTGAATTTACTCATAATCTAATATTTTTTATTTTACATTGGCGGCGAAAGGACCTCCTTAATGTCACTATGTCTTAGTGATTTCACCGTAAATTCATCATGATCTCACTGTCTGTTCACTATAATCTTACTAAAATTTTACTGTGATTTAATAGTGATTCCGAAACCGCGAGGGTATACTATTTTATTTTGGTTTATTTGATTAAATTTGTCCATCTATTTAATTTAAATTAGTTTGGTTAATTAATAGTGAACAAATCTCATTTAAAATAAATCATGTGACATTTTGAGATGCTACAGAGTCGCTATTTGAGCTATCGTAATTTTAATACCTTTCTTGTTGCCTGTTATAATTGAAAAATTTTGTATAGCTATAGATACATAAATTTTTTATGAATTTAATATTAGAAAAAAAAAATTATTAAATTATAAATCGCACTTAATAATTTTAGTTTATTAGAAACTACCCCAATAGAATAGTTACTTTCAGTACATATGCGCAAAGGTAGGGATTCCGATGGCTTGAAAAGTGACGTCCCGAGTTTGAGGCTATAGGCGCATTTTTATCAAGACCAAGCTATTTATCCGGACGAGCGTAGCGAATCCCAGTAGGTATAAGTCCTATCGCAATACGTTCAAGCGTATAACTTATGCAAAGTGATCTACCGCTGTTATCATGTTATTTATAATCTATAAGTCGTCATCATCATCATCATCATCATTCTCATTGTCATCATCATCATCATCATCATCATTCTCATTGTCATCATCATCATCATTCTCATTTTCATCATCATCATTATCATTCTCATTTTCATCATCATCATCATCATCATCATCATTCTCATTTTCATCATCATCATCATCATCATTCTCATTTTCATCATCATCATCATCACCCCTGGACCCCTTTGAAAAACATCATCAAAATTATTGTCAACGTCAACATCAACATCAACATCATCATCAGCGTCATAACGTCGCGGATCTAATGGCACAAAGATATTATGGCATGGATATAACGCCAAGAATTTTATGTCGCGGATATATAATGGCCTCAAATCTTATGATATGTTACCAATTTTGCAGACTTTCCTTTATCAAATTGTCTTCGTTATTTCTTCCTAAATTGAATATTTATTTTTATTTATAAAGAAAATATTTTCAGATTTTATCCGAATGCGAAATTTCAAACTCTTGAATTGTCTTTACTTAGGGAAGAAAAATAGAAGAAAATTACATAATAAAACTAATAAAAAATAGTTATTAGAGGCTATTTGACGAAAATAGACAACTCTTCTTGTTTGGATCGTGAATTTAATCAATAATTCAACCCGAATCCAAGATATTATACTGTCAGTAGTGTAGATTTACATTTAGTCCGACCGTAATTTACTCTGGTATTAGCTATTTTATCTATAATTTTTTGTTGTTTAATTAAACAAATAAATACCATATATTGCGATTCGCGGAGCTTAAATATGCAAGTTTTTATTTTCAAAATTCAGATAATGAAAAATTCCATTCTTCTAAACTTAAATTTGCAAATTAAAATATTAGCGTGTAACAAAGTTAAACAACAAATAAAATTAAATATCGCTTTTATTTCGTATAATTTACGGCCTTCTACTCGGGAAAAAATCATCAACGTTTTAAAATAAGTGTCTCAAATAATGTTTTTACTAATCAATTTCTTTTTTTAAAGTATGATTAGTAAAAACATCACTTGAGACATTACCACAAACAAAATTAAACGACATTGATATTTGATTCCTTAAAAAAAAGAAATTATAACGTTGTCTCTTAAAGTGTCAATAATTGGGGCTTTTACCTTAAAAGTTATAAATTTAAAAAAAAAAAAGTTTTTTTACCTATATATTCTTAAAAATTAAGGGGGATAGCCACTGTGAAATTTCAAAAAAAAAAATTTTTTTTTTTGTTAAATCAAAGTTGGGTAAATGCACCAATTATTGACCGATTAAGGTTTTCTTTTTCTGTACTTAGCTATAAAAAATCTATTAACCTACTAAAAACAATTTGTAATGAATTTTATTAAAGTTAAATATTTAATTAATAATAATTAATAACTATTTATAATAAGAATCAACAAAATTATATTAATTTTGATATTTGAATGTTGAAATACTAAAATCACCAATTATTGACCGAAGAAACCCAATAAATGACCGACCGTTCTCCAATTAATTCACCGCTCAAATAATTATATAAGTAATTTTGTAAACTACATGTATATAATTAAATATATGCAGTACTTTTGAAGTATTAACCACATCTTTAACAAAACTAAACATACAATATAATTTTAAACCGTACTTTTTTATAAAATAATATAAATAATAGCAATAATTAACAAAAAGTCACATTTCTTTAGGTCACAAATAATCAAAAATTAATTTTGATGACGATAATTCTTCTGATTAACTTAAAATTTTTTTATTCTTCTCCTT